ACAAAGTTTCATTAACAAATACGGCAAGAATGAACTCAAGAAGCTTGATACAGCTACAGTCAGTAAGAAACCTATTTTCATCAAACTTGATTATAAGGGCGACAATATTATGAGAATGGTTAATGAAAGACTAAGCGCAGCCCTGTATAGGACGTATCCTGCGGCGTTATTAGTCTCTCTACCCCGAAAAACTTCTTCATTGGTGCAGTCAAAGATTGAAAAGTACCCCTCACATGTTACCTCCAACTGTGTATACCAATTCACATGTATCTGCGGGAGCAGTTATATTAGAAGAACAGAGAGGAGGGCCTAAGTCAGATTCTGCAAACATGTACCGAGGAACCTCCGGTTAAAGGGACCGAATTGTTTAAGCTCTTTAATCGCCGCCAAACACCTGATTGACACAGGACACCGAGTAGATGTTCTGGAATCATTCAAGATAATTAACAGACGAAGTACCTCAAGTCTTCTCAGGTTCTCTGAAGCTATAGCAATAAAACGATTGAAGCCTGATTTATGTGTCGAAAAAGAATCCGTTGTTGGACTTCAATTACCCTGGTGACTCACCTCTTAGTAACTCTTTGTTTTCTAATTTTGTTAACTTATCTTTTCACTCCACCCCCTCCCTTTTTTTCTTCGCTTGACTCTCTTAAGAGATAATTTTTCTTGATCTTCTGAGTTCTGCTCACTGTATTACATCATCAACTCCTCATCTGGACTCATGTCCACCGAAATTGTAAAATTTTGATCTTCTCTTATCTAATTATGTAACTACTGCTAATTTTCTTTTGTCACCACCCCAACAACACAACAGTTAGTAAATTCTTTTCAAGAAACTTCTCTCTACAGATATATATATATATATATGTCGTGGCACTTTAGACACCCTGTAAATATCAGTGCCTTATTTTACTATGACGCTCTGACAGTATGCTTGCTAATGGATAAAGGTTTGTTAAAATTGTACACTTTTTATTTTTATTAAAAAAAAATTCAAGTTGTACGCAGCTGATGAGCACCAGCGAAATAAAATGGATTCTCCAGATTATTCTGAGCCAATGTTTCTTCTTTCTTTGTTCAAATTTACAAAAGGGAATCATTGTGTGAAATAATGAGACGAGTTAATATAATGATACTGACAAAGGATATTTTCAATTGTTTTTTAAGGACGACCACGCTAATAATAATAGGTGGAATAAAATATGAGTGATAATAGTAATAATAATAATAATAATAATAATGACAGTTGATAAGTAAAAGATATTACAGTGTTACATTTAAAGTGACTACCATTTCCTCCTGTAAACAGATACCAGGTTTAGAAAACTCCAGTTGCAGAAATCTCATCAACTGCTAGCATCTTTTTGTATGTTTCTCCAATGACTAGAGTGAATGACTTGACAACTTTGTCAGTGAACTATTTTGGTGCCTTGACTTCAGCTCCATCATGTGAGTAGGCAGTCACCTCTCTATAAGACTTATCTATTTGTTTCGGAAAAAACAGTCAAAGTGATACACTTCGTCAGAAGTGTCGAGGATTGGCAACCGGTAATTCACAGACTGTCACACATCTTCCAATGCATTTCTAATTATATTTATATATTTATTATTATTATTGTTCCCTTGGGTTCCTAGTGGAATATATAGGGCTTCAACTGCACGTCTCCACTTGCTTCTGTCTTCCTTCTGCTGTACTTTTCACCTACATCCATGTTAGTTAGTCCATACTCTTTCAACTCCTCTTCACACGATCTCCTCCATGTCACCCTTGCACTGACGTCCCACTCGCCGCTTCCCTTTCAGTCTGGTTCCACTCGAGCAATGGCCTGATGCTAGCGCGATGTCACCCAGCGGCCTCCTCAGCCGGGAGTGTCCAATCCATCCATCTCCACTTTTTCCTGCATATTTGTTGTCGTTGTTGGGCGATTGGTTCTTGTTTTGTTTGTTCCCATAGTTTGTTGTCGGTTGTTGTTGGCCCAGCCATCCGATCTTCAGTATAGAGAAAAGACAGTTGTTGGTTGATATAGGTCTGGTCTGCAACAGGCTGTTGGAAATATTCTTTGTGACCCGCTCACCAAGTTTCTGATCCGATCCGTATAGAAGAAGTGACTGACTTGACGTTGTTTGTATTGAAAATCCGACTGAATTTTGTTGTTGATGCTAGCTGAGTGACGAAGATTTCCAGATTGGTTTCAGGTTGGTTGATGAATGTGTTTGTCGTCTTCCCGATTCTCGCTGGATTTGACATCCTCGTCCGTTCCGACTGCCTGTAGTTGAGGAGGACAATGCTCTCTAGATAAGTGAATGAAGTCACTAACTTCTTTCAAATCCGTCCCGTTGATGGTGATTGTCGCTGGATGTTGCTGCTGCTGTTGTTGTTGTTGATTGGTTGGTTAATCTCATAACCTCCGTCTTGTCTATGTTCACTTGGAATCATGTCTTCACCGGCTGCTTCTTCGACCAGTTTGTCGCTTGATTTTCGCTTGTAAGTCTTCGATTTTGTGTGACATCAAACATAAATCATTCACGCGCGAACTCCAGTTTTTCTAGGTTCTTCACGTCGGTCGGTCCAGGATATCCCTGTCTTCTCGTTTCCCACTCACTGTCTGACGCATAATCCAGTCAGTCCACCACAATTAGGAATATCATCCTGGGTGATAATAAGCACCCTTGTCTGACTCCTGTGTTTACTCCAAATGCCTCTCTGAGTTTTCCGTTGTGGATGACTTGACATGTGCCACCGTTGTCGTACAGCTGTTGAATAAGGTTGATGAATATTTGGGGTACGCCGTAGTACTCGAGTAGTTTCCAAATTACTTCGCGGTCAACGCTGTCGAAGGCCTTCTCAAAGTCTATAAAAATTAAATAATTGTAAATATATACAGCTGAGACCTTGGACCAGATAATAACTGAGACACTAAAATTTCTTGTAGGGAGAAATCTGATTCCTAAGCTTACTCTGTGTAAAATTTAACAAACATTTCACTGTACTATCTTAATCTGTTGATTCTTTATATTAAGCAGAAAGAGTTCAGGAAAGAGATCTCCTCTCATTGCTTCTCTCTTCTCTCTCTCTTATTTAAGGACTAATATATATGTGTAATAACAGAAGACAAGGGCCAGGAAACAGATCGTTTATAAAGGAAATCAATACATATTTATAGATTTTCATGTACATTATTATAGCTTATGCAAGCAAGCAAACACACTCTTCTGATTGATTGTTTCTCACAGAAAGTTGACTTTGCATCTCTTTATGACTGTTTCTTGAATGTCAGATCATCTATATGTTAACTGTATCCGCCCACGCAAAGTCTGCTGTGGTTGGTTGTTCAATCAGTCTTTGTTCATATTTTCTCACGACCAATCTTTGCGACATAAACATTGACGTAAATTAATGTCTACCAATTTGGCTAGCAGCCTGCTCTCACCACAGTAGTACTCATCCTATCAAGGATAGAACCATGAATAGAACCAACCATACCCTACTGGTCATGACTTATCACCAGAATCTAGGTAACTCTCTACTTGAATAGAGCCAGTGGCTAGTGTCTATCAGATCAATATTCAAGCACTGGTTCAGTTTTGTTTCCTCTCTGATGATTAGTCACATTTTATACAAGTTATGATTAGTTATCCTATCCAGCTGGATATTTCAAAGTATTTCAGTTCGCACACACACTAGGAAACACTGGGCTACTTTTTACTAGCCACTGATTCACCTGACACATATGATAACCTTGAACTGACTTGTCATTCTTCCCTATCCCACATTCTACAAATCTATTATGATCAATCACCACCATTGTCTCCCGTTTCACATTAGTTTTATAATTGAATTCAGCTTAACACGTTAGTCACAAAAATATTATTTATTTTGTCACCTCATAACTACTAATCTGTTATTCTACGTTTGAAAAAAATGTATTCGCCACATAACTAACTGGTCATTATTGTAACAACTGCAACAATAGCAGATGTTATATTATGTAACTGTAAGAACGTGAAGAGAAATTATGTGATCGATTTTGATTCTGATTTGTGATGTGTCTAATCCTCTCTTCGGTTCAGAGTCAATTGTATTAATCAGGTTGTAATGTGGCACTATTCTAGGTAGCTCGCCATCACGGTGCACGTTGATTTGATGATATTAGGATGGTTGGAGGCAATCGGCGGGCAGGAAGCCTTGGACCTAGGTTTCGCGTTAGTTGGCACTCACCAGTCAGCAAGATGTATCTGCAACCTTGAATGAACTCACGTCCCTTCTGGGGTCAATCGCGAGGCCGAACAGCTCAGTGGTAACGTCTCTGACTGCAGTGCTCACTGGGTGATGCGGTTTCGAATCTCAAAATGGACATGAGTTCCTTCAAGGTTGCAGATACGCCTTGCTGACTGGTGAGTGCCAACTAGCACGAAACCTAGGTCAAGCAAGGCTTCCTGTGGCCGAGTACCTCCAACTGTGGTGAGAGCAAGCTGCTAGCCAATCGGTAGACATTAATTTACGTCAATGTTTACGTCACAAATGTTGGTCGTGAGAAGATATGAACAAAGACTGATTGAACAACCAACCACAGCAGACTTTGCGTGGGCGGATACAGTTAACACATAGATGATCTGTTTCCTGACCCTTGTCTCCTGTTGTTACACAACCATCTAATATGAACGATTTTTAAATGCAATGCTTATCGAGGAAAATGGTTTGCCTTGAAGAGGAACCCTAAGATATTGATTAGTATTTCTAAATCTTATAGAACAGACACCTGCTCAACTATTAACCGAATAACCGAATAGTTGGAATTCATCATAATGCACTGACTGCTTAATATAGTTTATCAGGAAACGCCATCTTCTCAAGAATAAATAACAAAACCGATCAAAATAAAATATCAATAAGAAAATAAGAACAATAGTTTTATAATGAATTTCTATTGATTAAAATATTTTCATTGAGTGTATATGTTTACAGTTGTTATTTTTTGTGTATTATTGTTGCTGTAGTCTTATTGATCTTTACATCTAAAGAGTTTACATCTTCCTCTGCAACATTCTTTACTTCTTGCGCATAAATCACCTGTATTCAAGCATCGTACACATTTACCCTTAAATCCACGCAACTGACAGGCAGTATTACCACAACAACGATCAAACACTGTTTTATGACATGTTTGACCGAGTTGTTTACAAGCACCTGAAAAGAAATAAGGGAAAAATTATTATTATTATTATCATTAATATTAATATTGTTATTATATATCCCTAATTTTGCCTTAATATCACCAAATATAACTGACTATATTATGCAGGCTGATTTCGGTTAAAACTATTGGTTGCTGAGACAGTTGATTTTTAAACATATTTGATTGGACAGGCTTTTGATGCCCATGACCTTGAACAGCCAATCAAATTAGTCAATAAATTATTTTCACATTTAACAAGCTACATATAAGCTTTCTTATAACAATTTCATAATGTTAAGTAAATATATTTCTATTGTATATCGTTCAAATCTAGTTCAGTGATTTATAATACGACGGATTCATTTTGTTCTTCTCTGTGCAAGATACTACTGAAATGAGTACAAAATAATCACAATAATAATAATATTAATATTGAATTGCATTGCTGATGCATCGGTGGTTCAATGATAAAATAGTCTTCAGCCACATGAGAGGTCTGAGTTCGATTCCCGACTGACAGATTCACTATTAAGCATTGTCTATTTTACTTGTTGACAGTAAGCCTTGGAAAGACGGAAAATTAGGCCTTATGGCTAATTAAGCAAATTACAAACTTGATTGAGCAAATCCAGTTAGTTAGTTCCAAGAATTAGACAGCAAAACATTATTAACTAACTGTTTGGCTACAGAAAATCATATATATAGCCTCAACTTTAACATTATGTGTGATAAAAATACGTATCTTTGGGATGATGAAATTGTTTGCTTTGTTAACAAATAACAATAAAATTGTGTCACCTATATCTAGAACCTTATGACAAATGTATTTATTTGTCCACGAACACATCCCATTTATTTCTATCATTCGTCATTAAACTTAGAAAACGAATGGAATGCTACTGCTTGGTAGATATTCAATATCGAATACAACGCCAACGAATTTTAACCAACTACTAGTCTAAACTCAAAAATGTTATGTAATATATATATATATGTACTATGTAAAATTAAGTTTAGTTTTCAAGCGGTGTTTTGCTAGAAATTCAGTAGTTTCAGCGCAAATCACGGATTGATATCAGTTAGAGAAGTATTGAAAATCAGAGAAAACTGGAGAGCTGTTTCGTTTGAGTTTCAGACTTCTCAGGAGTGTACACCACCAAGGCTACGAGACCAAGTTCCTTGACCATTCAGTCACTTGGAATAGAATTTAGTTAAACCTGTAATGAAATGACAATCTTCGCAGTCCTAATAAGACATCATCACTTCTGAGAGCACCATCACCTATGATGTTGGCATTATATAAAGCGAAGTGACAATTATCAGAATTAACTCACACACACACAGATCACTGAGTTGCAACCACATGAGGAAAATGTGAACTTTCTCTTTCTATAATATGAAGAAATTACGTTCAACTCGTGATGATACAATGGGTAGGTACGCGTGAAAAGTAGTCTCCCTACATAAGACGATTTGACAATCCAGTGTTCTATAGTTTGCAGTAATTCTCTAACTACCTTAAAATTAGTCAGTTAAAACTGTACAACACAACACTTGAATAGTTCAAAATATATATTGAAACATTTAACGACACTTTAGTGTGTGTGAATAAGATACTCATTGACCAAGCATATTATGTATATCGTAATGATAACTTACTGTCAACCATATTGAATTGTACTAAAACTGTGAATAAAAAGCAAACAATTGCGATCATTTTGTACATGCTCTTCTACAATAACGTAAAACAACACAGGGTTTATCTTCGCTTTAAACAACAGAAAGGTTTATATATATAGATATGCCTAGTAAAATTAACCAATAGTTATTCCAGTTTGTTAACGAGATAAACGATATTATGCTGAGCGGTACACTCTTGTCTGTTATATTCCTGTTTAATTCCTTTTTATCTTATATGATTCATTGTCTGCACAGTGTACTACCATACTCATATTTTTGAAGTATTGTGTTCACAATTGATGAAAAGATGTACTTAGAGTGGTACATATACGTGTAACATGAAAGAACAGTAGTCACTGGCTTCCTGTTTGTTTTGGGAGGGCGGGTGTTGTGGAGGGAGGGGTTCATTATTTTTTTTAATGGACATCAACTTGTGACAGGCATGACCTCTTTTTAATTTAATGAATCAATCTGATTCACTGGCAATAATACTGAAAACAACTTATCCAGGGAACCGATAGTGTAATCCACTGTGCTAAGTGGAAATAAATTATCTTTGACAAAATTCACAAAATTAGCACACAGTAATGATGATGGTGATGAGAAGTAAATAAAAAATTGATGAGTCAGACTTATTCACAGTGTGAGATTATTCATCTGATTGTTGGTTAATAAACCCGTGATGACAATACTCGAAAAACAATTATCATTTGTTTTATTATCTTAGTTATTCAAGTTCAACCACGAATTGATATCGTTTAAGAGAAACACATAAAGCCTGAGAGTAGTGGAAAGTTGTTTCGTCCTAGTTTGGGACTCATCAGAAGTACGCACCCACCGGGTACAAAGTAAGGCTTATAGATGATTTAGCCAGTTGGAGCTGACTCAATGGCCAACCCATGAATTCTTTTTTCTCCTTCACTTTCCCCAGTGGAACATAGGCCTTCAAGCTAGTAGCCTGAAGTTTCTGTAGTAGTGTTTATTTTTACAGGATGGGGTTGCTAGACTCATGCCCAACCTATCCTATTTACCAGCATTACTTCTGGCTTAGCGAGGTAAAGGAGTGCGCCAGTTGCGGGGCTCGAACCCCGGACCATGTGCATGGTCGGCGAGCGTCCTAACCACTATGCCACCGACGTACTAACGCATGAATTCTAACTTCTATCAATTCGGGATACTAACTAGTGACTGGTTACAGGATGGCGTTTCCTATAGTTCCAGTGAGCAGTCGTGACCTGTAAGGTCCAGTCGGTTGGGAGTGAGGATATATACTCACCAATGACGTTGGTTGATGGTTACTACAAACTGTCATCAACACCTACCTTATCTACTTCGACAGTTAAGATCAGATGGCCAGTCAGAGTGGATAAGCGATAAGCAACTCTGAAAATGAATAAACCAAGAATCTGTTATCCAATAAATATGCTGATGGAAACGCAGATGAACTAGACATACGCTTAGAAGACCCTGTGAGTTATATGACACTGCAAGCCTTCGAGTAGAAGCCGAATGAGAAACAAAAAGTTGGCCATCCGAATGTGACATGGAGGAGATAGTTTGAGGAGGAAAATAAAGATTATGGTGATTCCTGAGTCTGGCGTAAACACACCTCAGAAAATAGATTCAAATGCAAGTGTACAGTTAGAGCCCAATGTTCCACTGGGAACCCAATGAAATTAATAATAGTTTAATAATGTATTCTTCATAATTTTCGAAACATCCTGGAAATAAACATTTGTGGTTATTTGTGCAAGTATAGTTGTATTATTCAGCCTCTATGTACTTCCAGTTTAGTTTTCTTGCATACATACAAAGTATTTCAGGATAAATTTACGCTGATTTAGTAATTAGTACCTTACTCTTTCAGATCAGATACTCGACACCTAGCTTGCTCCCATCTCAACTGCTTCAACCTAGGCAACTGGATAGTATCATATGCCAATTATTAGTGTTCTCTGAGCTGGTTAGTTTAGTTGTGGAGCTTTTGTCATCCTTCTGGACAACATCCCCCTTCAGCACAATTTTTAGCATAAAGTGAAATGATTTAAATTTCTTCATAAGTCATTTAATTTCCTTCCCCCGGTAACCATCTTTACATATGTATTAATCATTTTCTATTGACATGAGTTTTAAACTTTCTGGTCACCTGATTTACTTTTTATTAGTCGGTATATTTGGTCTATATTAACGTGTTTGCTAATTGCATGCATATCCATTTGAGTACCAGACTTGGCTTCTAGGAATTCCCTGACTACCCTTTTGATGTTTCCTCTGTCTAAGATTTCGACATTATCCCAATCAAATTGATGTCCATAATTGTCTATATGCATTGATACTAAAGAACATATATCGTGTTCTTTCACGGCTGATTTGTGTTCTTGGATTCTAATTCGAAGGGGACGCCCACGTTGGCCGATGTAATGTTTGTTACAGTTCATACAATTTATTTTGTAAATGGTATTAATCCTATCTCCTTTTTCTATCGGATCTTTCGGTTTGCATAATATCGAATTAAGCGATTTCACTGACTTGTGTGGTATATCTATATCAAACGGTTTCTGTATTCTAGCTATTATTTCAGAGATATTTCTCATGTATGGTTGGGGTGAATTTCCGTTTGGTCTTTGACGATGGTTCTTTGTTGGTAACTTGATTCGAATTTAAACACACAGGAAATATGGTTCATAGTCTGACATATGAAAATATGTCTTCAGAAAATCAGTTCTCAATAAGTAACTAACCCTTTTATCTATAATAATTATACACTTCTGAGTTTGTGATAGAGTTTAGAGTAGAGTACTCAGGTCACATGAATAATATGCAATACAGATATTTGAATCTGAACTTATGGTATATACCGAACAAAGGAATAGGCACATTACACTAGTTACTAATTAGTGCCCAATACAGTCCTATAGGAGGTTAATATCGAGCCTTAATAGCGCAATGGTAGTGTCTATGATTGCAGCACCTGGTGACACCGGTTTGAATCTCATAAGGGAGATGAGTTCTTTAAAGGTTGCAGATACGTCTTGCTGATTGGTGAGGGCCAACAAGCACGAAACCTATGTGTGGCCAAGGCTTCCTGCCGATTGCCTCCAACCATCGAATACTGATCAATTTCTTCTCACTTGAGATATAGCGCCATCACTGTTCACTGCCATCAGGGGATAACTGTTCAGGATATAAAATATATTAATGGTTCCGTCAACAGCTATAGACCAGTCACTAGTATTTGTATAATTCATCAGTGGGACTTTGTTAATATACACATTAAATACCTATTTCACACCCTTATTTCTATGATCATCAGTGCCTTAACAAAAGTGAATCGAAACAGGCACTGTAGGTTTACAGCTTTACCTAACAATTTAGTTACTTCACCTATAAACTTAATTACAGTCTCAAAGGTGTTTACTCTGAAACGATTTTAAGTCCTGCTGACGTGTACTCAACCAGAAAACCGAAAGCCAGCTCCCGAAAAGCCATCTCCGAAAGTAAAACAACAGCTTCACCTTGGAGGTTGCTTGAACTAGATGATGGTCCGAGCCGACATCTGCTCCCCTCGTCGACTTTATGTCCATCAGGCTGCGTCTTCACTTCCTTGAGCAGCATTGTGATGAAATCTATCCGGTTTGTGGGGTGTCTTTGATATAAGAATAGAACTTGTGCAATGCGGTGGAGTATAATTCCATTATGGGTAAATTTTACTTTGATTAAGTCTCACAGTGTTATACAGTAATATTTACTGATGACCACGTCTCTAGCACAATTTATTGCTGCTCGTAATCATATTAAGGTCATCGGTAAATATTACTGCATAACACTGTGAGACTTTATCAAAATAAATTTTACTCATAAATGTGGTGCGTCTGTCAGGCGAAGTCCATGTTGCCTTGTGTATATCGTTGTACGTGTACATACTGCATGAAGTCACCGAATCATTAAAGGTGCAGTGGTCCACGAAGAGCTCTCCATTCCCATGCATTTCGCCGAGCCAGAGCCCCTCGAATCGTGATCAGTCTCCTTGCTATATTGTCTGCCTCCCGTTCGGTTGGCATTCATTTCGCCTATTAGGATTTTGATGTAACTATTTGGGATGATGTCCATTACTGTTTGTAGTCGCCCATAAAAATATTGCTTCTTCTCTTGTTCCGCATTGCTTGTAGGTGCGTAGCACTGGATAACTATAACCTTCCTTGAGTTGAATCCTGCTCCCATGATCCTGCAGGAGGATATAGGTTCCCACTGGATTAGGGCTTTGGCTGTCAGCTCATGATGAAATCCTCCATCCAGCCTGACGACTTTTCATGTTTTATTCATTTATTGCGTTCTAGGTGGAACAAACTCGCTATAAGCCTTTGACTTTCATTCTTTTCCTCGTTTTTTACCAATTAGCAAGCTAGATAAAGTTTAATAGTATGTCAGCAGGGAATTCAGTCCATAATCATTAAATCTAAACACTCAATTAAAAAACTGTTACATAATATCTGAACTAAATGTTTCCTTCACTTTTTTTTGGTGAAATACAAGCTTCACACATCTGATCCAAATCAGTATTCATGTAAACCTGGCAATAGCCTCAATTTCATCTGCAAATAACACTAAACTAGTCTTATATTTTAACATTTCTTGACTTTTATGTTACGGTGAATGAAAGCATCACAGAGTTCGCTACTGCAAACTTATTTATCAGATTACAGAAACAAGTATAATGTGAAAATAAGTGTAACATACTAGACTAGTTTACAAAGTAGGTAGGAATTAAATAAGAAGAAAGACACGTAATAGCAAAGATTTTCAGTGTCGTTTCTTGATTAGATTACTTCAAGTTAGATCAAGTAAAAGTGTGATTTCACCTCATTCCAACAACGATTCTAATATTGTATCTTCCGAATTTATTACTATTAATATTATTATTACTCTTTTGAGTTCTCAGTGAAATCTAGGGCTACGACAGCACACCTCCATCTCATCCTGTCCTCTGTAGTTTTCATCAGCTAGCTGTACAACTGTTCCGCGTCTCCATGCTTTATT